ATTTCTTTTTTTTTTTTTCCATTTCAGGAATTATCTATTGATTTTCCACTGCGGAAAACAGAATTTAGTTTTCTTTCATTATCAGCCCTGCTCCCACCTTATAAAGCCCATATTTCCTGTACCTTACACCTTCCCAATATATTGGGTTGTTGGAAAAGTCGTGACACATTTTTGCACAGAAAATCAGAAAAATATGTCATAACTTAAAATAATTATTTAATTATTTTGATTTGCTCAATATCGATGCTTAAGTTAATATGACTTCAGCTCTAGATATCAGCAATTTACTATGGAAAAGAAGATTTATTTCTCTTTTCTTCACTTTGACTCCAACACATTACTGGCCTCCCACTGTTCCAAAGTAATTATATCATGCCTTTGGTTAGACTGAATCAGTGATTGTATATTATGCATATATAAACTTTAGTTATAGCTGAGTCATTTGGTAACTAATGATTAATTTTTCCCTGTATATTTTTGTTGTTTGTCTTGGCGTTAGTAATTATCTTGTTATTTCTTCATTTTCTAGGTTCTTATCAATAATTCATCTCCAGGGGCCTGCAGGTGGTGTGGTGATTAAGGGCGCTGGACTCCCACATGGCCAACTGTGATTCAAGTCCTGGACCTGGCAGCTTGCTTTCTCACTTTCTCTCTCTCTCTTCCTCCGCCTCTCTCTCTATCCCTCTCTGGTCAAGTTAAAATAAATAAATAAATGGATAAATAAAGTTAAATAAAATAATTATTTAAAAAAATTCATCTCCAAACTAAACACTATATGTCCCAAAATCTTCTCCAATATCCTATAGTTTCTCTTTCTTACTTTATGTTGGATTTTAGAGTTATACATCCTCTAGCAGCTTTCTGAAAATAAATTCAGGGAACCAGCAGTTAGCGTAATGGCTATGTCGCTGGACTCCCACGTAGTCGACCGTGGTTCGCGTCCCGGACCCGGTGACTTAAAACTCATGCTGGGCGCGTGTGCGTGCGTGCCCAAGATCCCGAGAGGAGAATGGAGGAGAAGGGACTGCGGCGTGGCCATCCCCCCTGGGGGGTGACTTCTCGCTTTCTGTCTCTCTGTCTCTGTCTGTCTGGCAAGCACACGCGCCCTATAGCAAAAAAACCTCTCCAAAAAAAAAAAAATGCACAAAAAGCAAATGTCAGAAAAGCTCTCTACTCTACTTGACTGACAGTTTTACTAGACAGAAGGCTAAGAATTGTGAAGGCATTTCTCCTCTTTTATAGTTTCCAGTGTTGCTGCTAAGAAGTTCCAAGTTGTTTTAATTCCTTTGTATATGATATCCTCTCCTCTCTGGGAACTTGAAGGAGCATTTCTTTGTCATCAGAGTTATAAAACTTCAGTGACAAACTTGGTAAGTTTCTTCTTATCCATTTTGCTGGCCATTTCCATTTCTTTTCAATCTAAAACCCCAGTTCCTTTCATTCTAAGAAATGTTTTTGTTTTGTCTAAGTAATCATTTATTTTCCCTTCCATTTCTCTGTCTTTCTGTAATTCCATATTAGAAATGTTCAGCCTTGGGCCAGCCAGTGGTTTAGTGGTTAAGGTGGCTGGATCCCTGATGGCTAGTTAGAGTTATAGACCTGGTGGCTTGAAAACCACTGGGTGCGTGTGTGTGCATACCGAAAATCCTGAGATGCGAGTAAAGGAGAGGGGACTGCGGCATGACCATCCTGTCCCGAGCAAAGTGCTTTCTCACTTTCACTCTCTCTCACTCCTTCTCTGTCTCTCTTTGGTGAGTGCATGCACCACACAGCAAACATTGAAAGAAGAAAGAAAGAAAGAAAGAAAGAAAGAAAGAAAGAAAGAAAGAAAGAAAGAAAGAAAGAGAAAGAAAGAAGGAAGGAAGGAAGGAAGGAAGGAAGGAAGGAAGGAAGGAAGGAAGGAAGGAAGAGTTTAGCCTCTATGGCTGTTCCTTTAATTTTCTTATCATTTCTCTATTTTCCATCAATTTGTTGTGGGAAGTTTTGAAGAAGTTTCTTGTCTAACCTTTCCACTGAGTTTTTCATTTAAGTATCAGCATTTTTTGTTCTCTAAATGCTTAAATTTTTAAAATTTAATTTTATTTATTCATCATTTATTTTTATTTGACCAGAGGGGGACAGAGAGAGAGAGAGAGAGAGAAACTGCAATTCCTTCTCCTCCACTAATCTATACTTCCAAGATCTCAGGCACGGAGCACATGTGACTGGCATGTTTTCAAGCCACTGGGGCTGGACTGAAACCTTGGTTGGCCATGTGAGACCTGGCTTACTTAATCACTAGACTTTGCGGCCAGCCCAACCATTTTCTTTTTCATCTAAATCACAGAATATTTTAAACAATTGCTTTACATCAGTAATTTGATTTTTGGTGGTGTCTAGTCTATTCTTTACTATTTTAAAATACATGAAAGAATTCCATAGTAAGATTATTTAGTTCTCCATGTTTTAAGTTCTATAATATCCTCTTGTATGTCATTTTACGGTTTTATTATCACTCTTTTTTAAGTTAATGTTTGAATGAGTATTTATGTATACTTGTAAAGAAATTCCTTCCATTTCTTTCTTTTTTTATTTGCCAGAGGATGCATGCATTCATGAGAGAGAGACAGACAGAAGGGGAGAGGGTAAGGGAGAAAGCTCAGCCTACTGGAGCAGGGTCATGCTGCAATTCCTTCTCCTTCATTTTTTTCAGTTTGTCAAGATTTGGGGCATCCCCAGGTGGTGTTTGAATTGCAGTTGGCCATGTGATATCTAGGCTCCTTTAATCACTAGGCTATGGACTGGCCCTAGCTACCGGTTTTAACTTTTTAATTTAAAAAATTTTGGGAACCAGCAGTTAGCGTAATGGCTATGTCGCTGGACTCCCACGTAGTCGACCGCGGTTCACGTCCCGGACCCGGTGGCTTAAAACTCACGCCGGGCGCGTGTGCGTGCGTGCCCAAGATCCCGAGAGGAGAATGGAGGAGAAGAGATTGCGGCGTGACCATCCCCCCTGGGGGGTGATTTCTCGCTTTCTGTCTCTATGTCTCTCTCTGTCTGTCTGGCGAGCGCACGCGCCCTACAGTGAAAATCTCTCTAAAAAAAAAAAAAAAAATGTTTGCTATTGGGGAGCCGGCAGATGGTGTGGTGGTTAAGGATACTGGACTCCCACATGGCCGACCGTGGTTTGAGTCCTGGACCTAGTGGGTTGCTTTTCCACTTTCCTTTTCTCTCTGTCTTGCTCACTCCCTCTGTCCCTCTCTGGTCAAATTTAAAAAATAAATTTAAGCAAAATAATTCTTAAAAAAAAAAAAAATGCTATGGGGTGCATGCATTCACCAGAGACAGAGAAAGAAAGAGAAAGTGAGAAATCACCCCTTGGCAGGACGGCCATGTTGCAATCCTTCCCCCTCCATTCTCTTCTAGGGATTTTGAACACACACACACACATATGCCCGGCATGAGTTTTAAGCCACCGGGTCCAAGACACAAACTGTGGTCGACTACATGGAAGTCCAGTTACATAATCATTATGCCGTCTGCTGGCACCGGCAATGAGTTCTGAGTATGATGGCTTCTGATGAAAATTCGATGTCGAGTAAGTCCTCAATAAATGCTGACTAAAGAAAATGTGACTGAGCTGCCTATGTATAACTTTGTATTAAAAAGTAGGTTCTCAGTGAGATATCACTGCACACTCATTAGGATGGTTACTACCCCCCCCAAAAAAAAAAGAAAAAAGAAGAGAGAAAGCAAGAAAATAAGCATTGGCCAGGATGTAAACACTAGAACAATTGTGTACTCTTATTGGATTGTAAAATGGTGTGACTGCCATGGAAAACAATATGGAGGTTCCTTAAAACATTAAAAATAGAATTGCCATATGATCCAGCTATCCCACTTCTTGAAAAGAAGTTTTCAAAGAGACATCTGCAGACCCATGTTCAGTGTAGCACTACTCATAATAGCCAAGAGGCGGAAGCAACCCAAATGTCTGTCAATGGATAAACAATGAACAAAATATAGTATATACATACAATGAAATGTTATTCATCCTTACAAGGAAAGACATTCTGTCATAAGCTATGTCACGGATAACCATGGAAAACATTAGCCTAAGTGAAATGAGCTAGTTACAAAAAAAGACAAATACTGTATTCTACTTATATTAGGGTATCTAGAGTAGCTAAATTTATAGAAACAGAAAGTAGAATGGTGGTTACCAGAAATTTGTGGGGAGGGGAGAAAATGGAGCTGTTATTTAGTGGGTATAGAGTTTCAGATGAGCAAGGTAATAGAGTTCTGGAGATCTGTTTCATAACAGTGTATTAAAAATGGTTAAGATGGGCCAGGAAGTGGTATGGAAGTTAAGGTGCTGGACCCCACACGGCCAACTGTGTGGCTGGAACCCTGGACCCAGTGGCTTGAAAATCACACTGGGTATGTATGCATGCATGCCCAAAATCCCAAGAGGAGAATGGAGGAGGGAACTGCAGTGAGGCCATTTTTAGAGGATTTTGTCTTAGGGCATGTGTGCTCGCCTGGGAGTGAGAGAGACAGTGAGATTTCTCAGAGGGAGATTTCTCACTTTCTCTCTGTCTCTGTCTGGAGAGCACACATGCCTTATAGCTAAAATTTTAAAAAGCAAAAAATGGTTAAGATGGTAAATTTTATGTTTTATATTTTTATTTCTTTCTTTCTTTCTTTTTTTTTTTTTTTAACTACAATTAAAAGGGGAAAAGAAGGTGGTTCTAAAACACTGTCAGAAAGAACTGGTCTCCTACAGCTACTTTGCCCTACTCCTATGCCAGATTTGGCTCTACGTTGGCAAGAAAAGGAAAAGCTAAGCTTATGCTGTGAAGAAAAGACCTTTATCCTGTCTCATGGGACAAACATTCACATACTTTCATCAATTTCACACAGTATGGTGTAGTTTTCATTCCTTCTTTCCCATCCACTGGGTGGTTTTATTTTGTTTTAATATAAGGGGAATTGCCAAGAAGAAAGACCCTGGGGCTTACTTCTGGAGGATGGATCCCTTAATGACCAGCTCTTCATCCAAGTCTGCTTCATTAGCCATGAAGAGCAGCCTCTTTCCTGTGCTGTCCACTCCAATGAAGTCACGCTGCTCCACTGAATCATACAAAAGAAAGAAAATCAAATAAAGCCATTTGCCCTATCTTCATGGCTAAGTCAGGGGAAAGGGCATCTACTTGCATTGCTTTTGGAACTAAATAAAGGATTGAGATTGGAGAGGAGCCCTGATGAGTGTTATGGAACACATACTACAATGTTTAAAACATCAGCAAACATTTTTTGTATTGCTATAAAGGATATTATTGTTTATTGGTGAAGTCTGAATAAGGTTTGTCGATGAAAGCATTGTACCAATGTAACTTCCTGTTTTAAGAGACTATTCTTTTTAACAAGGGCTGGTGGAGGGGTACTACACATTGACATATTTAAAAGTAAGGGGGAAGCCAGCAGATGGTGTAGCGCATGGTCGACCATAGTTTGAGTTCCAGACTCAATGGCTTGAAAATCACTCCAGGCACATGTGCATGCCCAAAATTCTGAGAGGAAAATGGAGAAGAAAGGCTTGTGGAGCGGCCATCCCCATGGGGGTGGGGGTAGTGATTTCTCACTTTCTCTCTCTTTCAGGCGAGCACACATGCCCTAAGGCAAAATCCTCTAAAATAAATAAATAAGAAAGTAAGTAAATAAATAAGTAAAGGGGATTGACATCTGCATCTTCTCAGCAGCTCAGAAAAAGAACAATTTTATATACAACATATTTTGTATATTTATTATATATATCGAATATATGTTACAAGCAAGAAAGAGAGAATGATGTAGGAAATGTTAACATTTGGAAAATCTGGGCCAGCCATGGTGGTACAGGTGGAATGGCTACAACGGCTAAGACGGTATGGGAGGCTGGGGTTTGATTCCCAGCCCAATCTATAGGTATGGTGGCTGGCTGAAAGGTTGGGGCAGAAAAGATTGTGACATGGTAAACTTGGTCAAAAATGACTCTCTTTGGGAACCAGCAGTTAGCATAATGGCTATGTCGCTGGACTCTCACGTAGTCGACCGCGGTTCGTGTCCCGGACCTGGTGGCTTAAAACTCACGCCGGGCGCGTGTGCGTGCGTACCCAAGATCCCGAGAGGAGAATGGAGGAGAAGGGATTGCGGCGTGACCATCCCCCCTGGGGGGTGATTTCTCGCTTTCTGTCTCTATGTCTCTCTCTGTCTGTCTGGCGAGCGCACGTGCCCTACAGTGAAAATCTCTCCAAAAAAAAAAAAAGACTCTCTTCCTCCCATGCACTTTCTCTTTCATCAAAAGAAACAGTTAATCATCTGAGGGGGTTATTTCTCACTTTCCCTCTCACTGTCTCTCTCCTATCAGCACATGTGCCTTATGGCAAAAACCTGAAAATGAGCAGACAAACAAACATATGGAGAATCTGAGTGAAGAATACATAAGTTTGTCATACCATTCTTATAATCATTTAATAAATGTGAAATTGTTAAAAAAAAAAAAGAAAAGGAGCAGTGAAAATACTGCTTAGCCAAAGTAGAGGATCCACAAACCCACTGCACAGCACACCAAGCACAGTAAGAAATTCTCTTTGCAAATAATAACCTAGGTCTGCTCACCTGTAAAAACAGGAATGATTGGGACCAGCAGATGGAGTAATGATTATGTTGCTGGGCTGCCATGTAGTCAACTATAGTTCGAGTCCCAGCCCTGGTAACTTAAAACTCACACCTGGCACATGTGCGTGCATGCCCAAGATCCCCAGAGGAGAATGGAGGAGAAGGAATTATGGCATGGCCATTCGCCCTGGGGGATGATTTTTTGTTTTCTGTTTCTCTGTTTCTGTCACTCTGGCAAGTGCATGCACTCCATGGTAAAAAACAAACAAACAAAAAACCCAAACTCTTTAAAAAAAAAAAGAAAAAAAGAACAGGAATGTTCAACATTAATTACATTCCGACTATATATTAGATTTTATGCTATGTATGGGGCATTACAAAAAAAAAGTATATGGGGCCAGCAGGTGGCGTGGTGGTTAACGTGTTGGAATCCCACATGGTTGACCATAGTCTGAGTCCTGGACCTGGTGGCTTGAAAAATCACGTCAGGCACATGTATGCGGGCATGCCCAAAATCCCAGGAGAAGAATGGAGAAGAGATTGCAGCATGACCATCCCCTCAGGGGATCATTTCTCACCTTCCCATTCACTGTCTCTGTTTTACTCTAGCAAGCACATATACCCTATGGCAAAAACCTAAAACAAAACAAAACAGAAAAAGTACATATTTTACTAGCTGTGGAAGTTCCCTGGTAGACAATGATCTTACAGGTTGTCACATTATTGCTTTTCTTGGTGTTATGTCTTCCCCCCAACCAGATTATAAACTCTTCAAAGGCAAGTTAATGATTCTTTTTTTTTCAAGAATTATTTTAACTTTATTTATTTATTTTAATTTGACTAGAGAGGGGGACAGAATGACAGAGAGAGAGAGGGGGAAAGTGAGAAAGCAAGCTGCCAGGTCTGGGACTCAAACTGTCGTCGGCCATATGGAAGTCCAGCACCAAGTGCTGGCCCCTATGATTCTTTTATATTTCCCATAATATATAATACAGTGCTGAATACTTCGTAATATGTACTACCAGTATCTGTATAGTATCTATAACTCACAAAAAGCATTTCACACAGAGGCACAGAATCATGATTGGGACCAGCAGATGGTGTAATGGTTATGTTATTAGACTCTCTCACATAGTCGACTGCGGTTCGAGTCCCAGATTTGGCAGCTTAAAACTCACACCAGGTGTGTGTGTGTGTGTGCGCATGATCAAAATCCCAAGAGGAAACTGGAGGAGAAGGGATTGTGGCATGGCCATACCCCCTGGGGGAGGGGTATTTCTCTTTCTGTCTTCTGTCTCTCTCTGTGTCTCTCTGAAGAGTGCATACACCCTATAACAGAAATCTCTCTTAAAAAAGAACAATAACTCGGGCCAGCAGGTGGTGTGGTGGCTAAGGGCCACCCACTTAAAAATCAAACACAGAGATGTTACTTTTGAATATAATTTGGAGTACTGACCCTGCCCAAGTCCAAAAACCTTGCATTACTGGATGTCCTGGGAACAATCACTTCCAGCCAGCCAATTTCACAGCTGCCTATATATTAGATTTTATGCTATGTATGGGGCATTACAAAAAAAAAGTATATGGGGCCAGCAGGTGGCGTGGTGGTTAACGTGTTGGAATCCCACATGGTTGACCATAGTCTGAGTCCTGGACCTGGTGGCTTGAAAAATCACGTCAGGCACATGTATGCGGGCATGCCCAAAATCCCAGGAGAAGAATGGAGAAGAGATTGCAGCATGACCATCCCCTCAGGGGATCATTTCTCACCTTCCCATTCACTGTCTCTGTTTTACTCTAGCAAGCACATATACCCTATGGCAAAAACCTAAAACAAAACAAAACAGAAAAAGTACATATTTTACTAGCTGTGGAAGTTCCCTGGTAGACAATGATCTTACAGGTTGTCACATTATTGCTTTTCTTGGTGTTATGTCTTCCCCCCAACCAGATTATAAACTCTTCAAAGGCAAGTTAATGATTCTTTTTTTTTCAAGAATTATTTTAACTTTATTTATTTATTTTAATTTGACTAGAGAGGGGGACAGAATGACAGAGAGAGAGAGGGGGAAAGTGAGAAAGCAAGCTGCCAGGTCTGGGACTCAAACTGTCGTCGGCCATATGGAAGTCCAGCACCAAGTGTTGGCCCCTATGATTCTTTTATATTTCCCATAATATATAATACAGTGCTGAATACTTCGTAATATGTACTACCAGTATCTGTATAGTATCTATAACTCACAAAAAGCATTTCACACAGAGGCACAGAATCATGATTGGGACCAGCAGATGGTGTAATGGTTATGTTATTAGACTCTCTCACATAGTCGACTGCGGTTCGAGTCCCAGATTTGGCAGCTTAAAACTCACACCAGGTGTGTGTGTGTGTGTGCGCATGATCAAAATCCCAAGAGGAAACTGGAGGAGAAGGGATTGTGGCATGGCCATACCCCCTGGGGGAGGGGTATTTCTCTTTCTGTCTTCTGTCTCTCTCTGTGTCTCTCTGAAGAGTGCATACACCCTATAACAGAAATCTCTCTTAAAAAAGAACAATAACTCGGGCCAGCAGGTGGTGTGGTGGCTAAGGGCCACCCACTTAAAAATCAAACACAGAGATGTTACTTTTGAATATAATTTGGAGTACTGACCCTGCCCAAGTCCAAAAACCTTGCATTACTGGATGTCCTGGGAACAATCACTTCCAGCCAGCCAATTTCACAGCTGTGTTGCGCTTCAGCTACATCTCCCTCCCTTTCAGGCCTTCCTTGTATTGCTTTTTGGTAGATGCTATGGTAACTGAGATCTCAAAATATGATACCAATTATAGAAACTTGTAAAGATTTCTTTCTGTTCTGCCTTAGCAAAGTAAATTCCACTTTGATAGCAGAGCAGGTAACTTCAGAATGTCCATCCTAAGAAGACAAACTACACAAATAAGGTTAAGAGAGCAGAAAAACTATGAATTTCCACTTTAAAAAATTCTGCCATATTCAACTACTCACATTTTCCTTTTCTTTTTTAAAAATAATTTTTTAGAATTATTTTTTATTTAATTTTATTCATTATCATCGTTATTATTTTTTAAATTGGACCAAAGAGAGACAAAGAGAGAGGGAAGTGAGAAAGCAAGTCACTAGGTCCAGGACTCGAACCACGGCTGGCCATGTGAGAGTCTAGCACCCTAAAAACCATGCAACTAACTGGCCCCTCTTTTTTTTTTTTTTTTTTTTGTAGAAAATCAGAGAGAAAGAGAGAGAAAAGGGAAAGTGAGAAAGCAAGTCGCCAGGTCTGGGACTCAAACTGCGGTCAGCCATGTGAGAATTCAACACCTTTAACTCCCAACTCCAAACACAGTACCTGTCACAGAGTTGGTGCACGTTTATTGGTTGAATGAATGAATGGATAAGTAAATGACTATAGAAGAGATTGAAGGGTCATTTAGAGAACCAAAAATCAATTAGAGGGGGCCAGCATTGAACTCCCACACAGACAGGTGACCATGGTTTGAGTCCTGGAACTGGTGGCTTTCTCTCTCTCTCTCTCTCTCTCTCTGTGTGTGTGTGTGTGTGTGTCTTGCTCTAGTCAGTGTGAAAATAACAATGATAAGTAAAATAAAGGAAATGATTCTTTAAAAAAATCAATTAGAGAAAAAGGTGTGAGGGACCGGCAAATGGCATAGCGGTTATAGTACTGGACTCCCATATGGCTGATGGCAGTTTGAGTCCTGGACCCAGTGACTTGAAATTCACACTGGGTGCATGTGCCTGTGTGCCCAAGATCCCAGGAGGAGAATGGAGGAAAAAGGATTGTGGTGTGATGTAGCTATATCTCCCAGGGGTGATTTCTCTCTCTGTGTCCCTCTCTGGTCAAATAAAAAAATAAATAAATAAATAAAGCTAAATAAAATAATTCTTTTAAACAAACAAACAAAAAACAAGTGAGCTTGGAAGCAAATCCTTTTCCAGCTGAGCCTTCAGATGAGACCCTGGACCTAACTGATACCTGGATTATGGCCTTGTAAAAGACTGAATCAGAGTACCCAGCTCAGTCTCTGAATACCTAACCTACAGTATTATTTTAAATCTGTGATAATTTTTATAAACAGATTACTAATATACTAGCTAACATTACTTGAAGAGTTATGTCAGTACAGCCAAACCAAAATACCAGCCTGCAGAATCATAAGCAAGTAAATGATTGTTGTTTTAAAACCACTGAAGTTTGGGGATGTTTGTTACATAGGAAAAACTAACTGATACACTGTGTAAAAGCAATATTAGGTATGGCCAAGTTGGATTCATCTCGGATATACAAAAATGTTTTAATTAGAAAATCTATAATTGTTAGTCATCATATTATCACAGTAAAAAAATGGATGTAGAGGGGACCAGCAGGTGGCGTGGTGGTTAAGGCGCTGGACACTACCACATGGCCGACCAAGGTTCAAGTTCTGAATCTGGCGGCTTGCTCTCTCACTTCCTCTCTCTCTTACTCTCGCCCTTTAGAGGTCTCTCTCTGGTCAAATTAAAAAATAAATGAATGAATAAATAAAGTAAATAATTATTTTAAAAAATGGATGTAGAAAATATATTTTATAAAATGTATATACATATAGGGGCCAGCAGGTGGTGTGGTGGTTAAAGATGCTGGATTCCCACATGGCTGACTACAGTTTAAGTCCCAGATCTGGCAGCTTGCTTTCTCACTTTCCATTTCTCTCTCTCTGACTGTCTCTGGTCAAATTAAAATAATAATAATAACAACAAATGGAATCAAATAAATAAATAATTCTTTTAAAAAATGTATATACTCATGAAAAGAAACTCTTAATAAATTAGGACTAGAACCCCAAATAGAATCAACCCAAGAAGATCTTCTCCAAACACATTATAGCCAGATTGACCAAAACCACAAAGACAAGATACTAAGATTGGCAAGAGAAAAAACAGCAAGTTACCTACAAAGAACATCTCATCAGGCTAACAGCAGACCTCTCATCAGAAACAATGCGAGCGAGGAAAGAATGGAAAAATATATTCAAAGTGTTAAGGGAAAAGCAATTTCAACCAAGAATACTGTACTTGACAAGATTATCCTTCATATGAGAAGAAAAGACAAGAACATCTTCAGATAAACAAAACCTGAAAGAATTTACCAACACCAGACCAGATCTCCAAGAAGTTCTCAAGGGAGTGCTATACCAGGAAAATTAAATATAGTCACACAGAAATAAGAGTTCAAAAACTAAGAAAATTACCAACTTAATCGTAGGGACAAATCTGGAGTTGAATATTATATCTCAGAATTTAATTGGGAAGATGGAACCACAACAGAAGATAGAAGTACATGAGACTGAACTGGTGAATAGTATTTTATGACTTTTGACTAAAACATTGCTGATTTTCTTCTAGGCTTTGTTCTCTGGTTTTAAGGATTTTTCTCCTGTCTTGAGCTGTCGATAGGTTCATGTACCTACTATTTAAACAGAATCCTAACCTGTTTTCTGGCTTTAAGTTTTAAGTAAAGTTCCTTAGCATTTCTTTGATTTATTAAAGTTAAAACGATTTTTCTTGAAATTACCAGCTGAACTTGCTATTTTTTTTTTTTTGGAGAGATTTTCACTATAGGGCGTGTGCGCTCGCTAGACAGAGAGAGACATAGAGACAGAAAGTGAGAAATCACCCCCCAGGGGGGAATGGTCATGCTGCAATCCCTTCTCCTCCATTATCCTCTTGGGATCTTGGGCACGCATGCACATGTGCCCGGCGTGAGTTTTAAGCCACCGGCTCTGGGATGCGAACCGCGGTTGACTACGTGGGAGTCCAGTGACATAGCCATTATGCTAACTGCTGGCTCCCTGAACTTACTAATGAAAGTAGTTAGATTATTTAAGAAATTTTGTGATCAATAAAATGTAGGGGAAAAAGGAATGGAAAACAACTGTAGACATCAGATAGTGTGGGAGGAGATTGGGAAATGGCAGAGGGTCAGAAATAGGGGTAATATATATATATATATAAAACCAGACATGGAAAATTATTGATGATAATAGGTATGATTAAGCCACTATGCAGTATATTCTGGATGAAAAATCACATTTTGTATGCTATGATGATGCTTAGGGAATGAATATAAATTAATTAATTTTAAAAATATTTCAGGGGGCCAGCAGGTGGTGTGGTGGATAAGGGCGCTGGATTCTCATATGGTCAACTACGGTTCAAGTCCTGGACCTGGTGGCTTGCTTTCTCATTTTCCCTTTCTCTCTCTCGCCAAATAAAGAAAAAAATAACAATAACAAATGGAAATAAATAAATAAATAATTCTTTTAAAAAAATGTTTCAGATAAAAAAAGAGCTCATAGAAATATGTGTAATGGAAAAAGTATGAATGAATTTCAAACAGTTTTTGTACCAAAATAAACTCATACTTTAATTGTAATAAAATAAAATTTAATTTAATTTAAAAAGTCAAAACAACAACAACAAAAAATTACAACTACAATAGAACTTTCTCGATCTGATGGCAAGTACTTATAAAAACCTGTGGTTGGGTACCTACGTGGCACAGTGTTTAAGGAGGCTGGATACCATATAGCCAGGTGTGTGGTTCAATTCCCCAACCCAGCAGCTTGAAAAACATGTCGGGTATATGTGCATGCATGTGTGCCCAAAATCCTGAAAGGAGAATGGAGAAAGGATTAAGGTGTTGTCATCCCCCCCTGTGGGGTACCTTCTCCCTTTTTTTTCTCTCTCTCCTGCAAGCTCACATGCTCTATAGCATATTAAAACAAAACAAGAGAAACAAACAAACAAACAAAAAACTGTGGTAGAGTTAGTCCCACAGCTCAGCAGTTAAGCATTACATGGGGAAAACAGGATCACACCTGGCCAACTAGGGTTCAAATCCCAGCCATGGTGGCTTGAGAAACATACTGAGTGCATATAGATGCATCCTAAAATCCTGACAAGATGGAGAAGTGGAAGAAGAAATATTATAGCATGACCATGCCCCCTCTCTGGCGACTGCATGTGTCCTCTGGACACATGAAATTAAAACAAAACAAAACAAACTTAAAAAACTGTAGTAAATATAATTTTAAATGAGAATTGTTGAAAATATTCCTTTTAAAAATCAGTAACAAGGAAAGGGTGCCAACTTGTATACTTAACTGAACTGGAGCTCTTGGCTAGCACAGTTAAGAAAAAGAAAATAGAAACTTAAAGACTATGGAGGGGATGGGACCAGCAGTTAGTGTAATGGCTATGTCGCTGAACTCCCATGTAGCTGACCGTGGTTTAAGTTCCGGACCTGGTGGCTTAAACTCACACCGGGCGCGTGTATGTGCATGCCCAAGATCCTGAAAGGAGAATGAAAGACAAGGGATCGCGGTGCGGCCATCCCCCCTGGGGGGTGATTTCTCACTTTCGGTCTCTCTCTGTCTTTTTGGACAGCACACGTGCCCTACAGCAAAAAAACTTCTAAAAAAAAAGACTATGGAGAGGATATTGGTCAAAAGATACAAAATTTCACTTAAAAAGAATAAATACAAAATATCTTTTGTACAACATGGTGACTACAATTAATAACAATGTATGATATTCTTCAAAATAACTAAGTAGATTTTAAGTATTCTCACTTGAACTTTGGAAACAAAAAGAGCCCATAAGCTTCTAGAAAGGAAAAGGGAGAAAACAAAACAAAACAAAACACCTCTCCAAAAAATAAAAAAGAAGAATTTAATCAATAGTTATAATCATTTTTAAGTCACAAGCTGCGTCTTACTTGATTTTATGTTATCAACTTCTAGTATAGTATCTGTGGTACACAGTAGGTTCTTAAGAAATGTTTATAAAGGAAAAGTATGGACGATAATGATAATTACGAAAACCCAACAAATAAATCAAACACCAGTCTTCCTTACCTGCTTTTTTTTTCCCCTTTTGTCCTGGAACTGGTGCTAAGCTATCTTGGCCTTTTCTCATTAACATGGCAAGTGAGGCATCGTAAGCTCTGAACAGGTCTACGACCTCATGTAAGGCAACATCTGTTATCAGATCACAGCTCAGGACCAGCACATCTGTCTGTCAAATGGAGAAGGGAAATGTCAATGTCACAAAGGACAACTGATCATATAAATCACCACAGGATAAGCTAAAGAAGGCTCGGAGGTATACAAACCAGGCAATACTTTTCACACCATTTTTTAGAGTAAAGTAAGTAAAATAAGTGGAGTTATTCTAAGCGAAATATGTTGGGAAGGGTCTGGAATCTTTGTCTTCCCCTTACTGTGCAGTCTCTGAGACACCTCTCGAACCCTGGACTCTAAGGAACAGGGGCTGAAAACCATCACACTGTCTATTTCTATGACTATAGAACAAGTGATCTTGTATTTATACATACCTTTACAGTTTAAAAATGTATTTTCACATAGTCTGATAATTAATTATGAAAATAGAACACTATACAACATCCTATCTCAGCCTCCGTGAGCTAGAATCACAAGCACTTATCACCATGCCCAAGCTGTTTAGGTTGACCCAGGAACCACACCAGGACCACGCCTGTGGCCTCACTATCACACAGCAGAGCTCTCCCATTTGTACCACGGGGCCAATCTCTATTTTTAATGAATGAGAAAAATGAGACATACTACCATGATGCCTGGCACACAGTAGGCATTTAATGATTGTTTGGTGAATGAACAAGTCGGTGAAGAAAAGATTTTCTCACAGTGGAGAGTTTTCTGATTATACAACAATTCCAATAATTCAGAGTAATTATAATAAAAACTACAATGGCAATTAATGTTTATTGAATGCTTGCCTTTCACCAGAAATGATGACAACACTTTGCATGTATTATTTCAATCTTTATCACAACTCTATGCAGTAAAAACTATTATTTGTAGTACTTTATAGACAAACAGGTTTACAATAAGTATGTAAATGTCTAAGATCTAACTAGTTATGACTAGTCAAGAATAAATTATAAAAAATTTGCATTACTGAATAGCGTTTAAAGAAATACAGCTTCCCTAGTTTGAAGTCCCATTTATGGGAGGCTCTAATACACAGTGTTTTAGGTCTTACCTACTGTGAATTTATGTCTAAATCCAACATGTGAGTACTAGAAAATCACCTTCCATACCATATTTTAAGAATAAACTTGAGGGAACCAGCAGTTAGCATCATGGCCATGTCGCTGGACTCCCATATAGTTGACCGTAGTTCGCATCCCGCACCTGGTGGCTTAAAACTCACGCCAGGCGCGTGTGCGTGCGTGCCCAAGATCCCAAGAGGAGAATGGAGGAGAAAATTTATCCTAGGCTCAAAAGTAAAGTGAAAATATCTACATGAAGTTTTTGTAAGGATTTCAACTTTCCTAATAATTGTTTTTAAGAATTATTTTATTTAACTTTATTTGTTTATTTATTTTAATTTGACCAAAGAGAGAGAGAATGAGAGAGAGAAAGAGACAGAGAGGAAAAGTGAGAAAGCAAGACACCAAGTCTGGGACTTGAACCACAGCTACCCATGTGGGAGCCAAGTGTCCTTAACCACCATACCACCTGCTGGCCCCTAAATAAATAATTCTTTATTTTTAAGAATTACTCATTTGGGACCAGTAGTTAGTATAATGGCTATGTTGCTGGACTCCCATGTCGTCGACCTCGGTTCAAGTCCCGGACCCAGTGGCTTAAACTCACGCCAGGCGTGTGAATGTGCGTGCCCAAGATCCCGAGAGGAGAATAGAGGAGAAGGGATTGCGGCATGGCCATCCCCATTGGGGGGTGATTTCTTGAGCACACACGCACACATGCCTGGCGTGAGTTTAAGCCACCAGGTCTGGGACTCGAACCGTGGTCGACTACATGTGAGTCCAACGACATAGCCATTATGCCAACTGCTGGTCCCAATGTGCACTCTCTTGAAAAAAAAGAGAGAAATAGAGAAACCAAGCAACTCCCACTGGAAAATCATGCTACAATCCTTTTCCCTGTTTTTCCTTACTATCAGGAGTTTGGCCAGACAGTCAAACACACACACACACACACACACCTCCAAAGGAAAAAAAAATACTACCTCTCAAAAAAAAAACTCACGCTGGGCGCGTGTGCGTGCGTGCCCAAGATCCTGAGAAAAGGATGGAAGAGAAGGGATTACGGCGTAGCCATCACCCCTGGGGGGTGGTTTCTTGCTTTCCGTCTCTCTGTCTCTGTCTGTCTGGTGAGCCCACATGCCCTATAGTAAAAACCTCTCCAAAAAAAGAAAAAAAAAATACACACACACAGTCACACACACACCCCTCACATTTTTTAAAATTATTTTTTATTTTAACTTTATTTATTTATTTCATTTTATTTTAATTTGACCAGAGAGGGACAGAGAGAGAGAGAAAGTGAGAAAGCAAGCTGCCGGGTCCAGGACTCGAACCATGGTTGGCCATGTGGGAATCCAGCACCCTTAACCACCACACCACCTGCCACCCCAGACCAGGCTTGTGTTGGAAGCCACCAGACCAGGATTCCATCTGTGGTTGGCCATGTGGGATCTGACTCCCAAGACATAGTTCTTAATGACTGTGTAATAGGACTGGCCCTGGAAAAAGGATGATTTTGACTCATTCTGTTGTATTAAAGCAATGAGTTTTCTTTGCTCAGAAAGTGAAAATTTCTTATCCTGAATATAAAATCTGTACCCAAACCATCATTTATTTGTGTAAGTGCTTGTTTTCTTTTTTCAAGACAATGTCTCACTTTGTTGCAAAATTCCTGCCTCAGTCTCCCCAGTAGCTGGAACTACAGCCCAGGTTTTTAGAGTGGGTGGAGAAGCAAACCTGAGCTTCCCATATGGTCTCAGCCTACTAAGCAGTAGTGTCCAGCACGCACTATTGTGCTAGTCTACCATTTCTTTTTCAACATATAACTCATATCTAAAAAATTTCTTTTGAAACCCTCCTAAGGTCAAGAAGTTCAAAGCTGAATTTTTCCACTCCCCTGCTTGAGGCTCACTCTTAATTGTTTTTGGATCTTAACTCTGAGACTTAAAAAAAAGTTCTTTTTTATTTTATTTTTTTAGAGGTTTTTGCTATAGGGTGTGTGCGCTCACCAAAAAGACAGAGAGACAGAGATAAAAAGCGAGAAATACCCCCCAGGGGAGATGGCCACGCCACAATCCCTTCTCCTCCATTTTCCTCTTGGGATCTTGGGCACGCACGTACACGTGCCTGGCATGAGTTTAAGCCACCAGGTCCGGAACTGGAACTGTGGTCGGCTACATGGGAGTTCAGTGACATAGCCATTACACTAACTGCTGGTCCCCCCAAAAAAGTTCTTATAAATATCTTTTCAAGAAAAAAAAATTCTAAGCCTGCAACTCAATGTCCAGGAACTACCAAACACTAACAAATCAAATCACATACATGCAAGGTGAAGAACCTGCAGAATTTGGCTTCTTATAACAAGGCAGGGCACAGGGGCCATTACTACAGACATCCACACAATCATCACCACAATAGCACAGAAGGTGCCCACTCCTTCATAATGAAAATGACAGTTTGCTGAAAAAAAATCCTATTTTTTAAAAGTTTCTCTAGGAGCTGGCAGGTGGTGTGGTGGTTAAGGATGCTGGACTCCCACATGGCTGATCACGGTCTGTGTCCCGGACCTGGCGGCTTGCTTTCTCACTTTCCCTCTCTCTCATTCTATCCCTCTCTGGTCAAATTTAAGTTTGTAAGTCAATGAATAAATAAAGTTAAATAAAATCATTCTTTAAAAAAAAAAAAAGTTTCTCTAATAAGATGACTGATTTCTACAAGTTGACTGTTCTGCAAAAAGTTGATTTATTAAGTGTACTTCAAAGTAAAGAAAATGACCCCAGTGCTTTTGCCTCTGAAGTGGTGACAAGGTAGTCTTGGAAAATAAATGCTATTATCATTCCATCTGCAAAAGTATTTAAATCTGTCAGTATAGTGAATGCTGAACAAGTCCTGCATAATTGTGAACAGGCTGCAGGCTCATTTCTCTCTTTGCTCTTAGATGACTTTTTGCTAAACTGAATGAAAAATCCCCAAGGATCACAAGAAACAGACTCCTCTCAATGTCTGGTTGCCATCTGTTCTCGGTACGAAAAGAATGGCTGAAAGAGCAGAGCCTGGGATACAGATGGAGTTGCTGTTCCAAAAGCTCCTCTCCTGCCTGTTCCCAGAGAATGCACCATTTTACATTCACTGAGAGCAAACACATTCTTAGTTGTCTTTGCAACTCCAAAGAAAAGTCTTTGGTGACTGATGAATGTATACTTTTGTTTCCAAAGCTGGAAATCCTGGAAGAAAAAAGGAAAGGGAGAGAGGCAGAGGTAGGCAAATTTTTTTAATTGCTAGAGAGAGTGAGCTTACAGAGGAACAGAGATAGAGAAGTGCTCCCTAATGAGGCATGATACCACCACAATACTTTCCCTTCCACTGCTCTAGCCTGTCAGGAATTTGGGCACGTGTTTTTTAAGCTACCAGGGCTGGGTCAACCATGTGGGATCCAGCTTTTACTAGGGCCAGCCCAAGACAGACTTTTTTTTTGGCTTGAGGGCATATATGCTCGCCAGAGAAACAGGGAGAGGGAGAAAGCACCCCCTTGATGGGGCATGGTAATACTGCAATTTCTTCTCCTCCAACTCTCCATGTGATTGGAATTTTAGGCACACACATGCACCCCGCATGTTTTTCAAGCTGCCAGGGCCAGGACTTGAACTATGTGGTCAGTCATGTGGGATCTGGCTCCTTTAACTACTAGGCCATGCAGGCTGTGAATCAGGTGTTTTTGAGAGGGTCTCACTGTGTCACAATCCTCCTGCTCCAGGCTGCCAAATTAGCCAGGATTATAGGCCCTAACAACTATATCCAAACATTCTGGTCATCCTAGAAACTGAGCCCAGGTCTCCCATGTAGTTTCTGATCTCCCAAGCTGTGGCATTACCTGTGCATCACTGTAGCTAGGCATCTAAAACTTTTTGAGTGCCAACATGCAACCAGAGAAAAATTCTACACTTGACCTCATTTGATGGAATGCAGTAGAAATGCTGCAATA